GGACAGTTGGTCTAGTATAGGGTTCTTGGTAACCCAGGTTAGTATCTAAGATATACAGGTTTTGAGACTATAAAAGGAGTCTCCGGTTTATTAAGACTATAGGTTTTCTAGGAAACACGGTTTATAGATCTAGAATAACCCAAACTTCTTGTTCCTCTGGTCACCCTGTGTCTGCTTTGTGTTTATTTTGTTTGTTAAGTAGAGACAAAATATTGGTAAGAAGGTAGTGTCTCTACCCTGAGCCAGAAATATGGGAAATAATCAGTCTATTTCTTACCCTTTATCCCACCCAGGGGAGTCATGTCTAAATAATGTTACTAGAATAGGAGCACAAGTAGGATTTCTTACAATCCCATTTGTGTCAAATTTAGCAGGATGGACAGAGACTATGAAGCTATCTGATCCTTTTCCCAGGTGTGGGGCTAATGTTGATTTCCATATGAATATGATTCGAGGATTGTGTTTGGAAGATAGGGAGTCATGGCTGTGGTATGGTCCTGATCCAGATTGGGATAAGGAATATATGAGAGCAGGAGGTGAAAATTGGTTGCAGATAGCCCCTCATTGGTTTCTTTGTAGTGTAACAGGAAAGGTTTTAAAGGGAGCTAAGAAAGACCTGGCTAAGAGAAACGGAACTGTTGACAGTAATACCATCCGCTTTCCCATAGAAGCCCCTCCTGAGAATCCATATCCACCACCAATTGTGCCCCTACCCAGTCAGCACGCGGCCATGCCAGACCACAACCCCCACCTCCCTATAAAGCAATGTATCCTGCTGTACCTAATGCCCCCTCAGAGGATGATATAGAAGATATTTGTACTGCTGCAGCTGATTAATTCACAATCACAGCAATCATCATCTACACCAGATTCTGATATAGAATATCCACCGCCACCTCCCGGTACAATTAAATTAACAGTACAAACGGGAGTTAAACTTAAAAGTGGCAAGGTGTTAAAATCATATGTACATAAGCAAGGTGATGATGTAGAAATGCCAAAATTAGAAGGTGCTGATCTTACTGCCCGTTCATGACTGTTGGTAATCAGTTAAGAATGAAACCCATTAATCCCGGAGTACTCAAGGACATTATTCAAGGTGCCCCAAACCCCCGTACTAATCCCTCTGCATGCCTAATGTATCTGAAAAGAATGTGCTTAGGACAGAACATGACACAGACATACAGTTAATTATAAATGGAGTATTAGGGTATGACTCAGATTCTGGTTGGGATTGCTCTATAGCACCCTCTATCAGTGAGACAGACAACGGTACTGGAGTTGGAAAGGCTGGTAGTGATGGTGTTTATGGGCTTAGTACTTCAGCAGGATGTGCTAAAATGTGGGACGAGCTGGAAGCTGAAATGTTGAGATTATGGAAGAATAAGCAGTCTATATCCACTGCTTTGGCATGTAAACAAGGTGCAAAGGAAGAGATTGGTATTTTTGTAAAGAGATTTTACAAGTGTTGGAAGGATGAGGCAGGTTTGAAGTCTGGAGATGATATGGATCTCCTTAAAATACAGTCATGCTGTGGGAATATGTTGCCACAGTATTCTTTGCTTGTGAAACAGTTGATTTCAGACTGGGCTAATTTGGGTGGCACAGATTTTCTTACCAAGGTTATAGAGAAGGAAAATGCAGGTTGTTTTGACATAAGAAAAGATTCAGGAAGTAAGGCTGCTTATTATGCTCAGGGATTGCAACACTGTCCACCTACACAGGCCCGAGAGAGAGGATGGGATGGAGCACATAGAGCCCGTGGAAGGGATGGTCAAAGAGGGATAAGGGGATGGAGACAGGGAAATCAGGGTTATAGGGGCAGGGGTAACCAAGGAGGAATAGACAGGAACACTTGTTTCAACTGTGGCCAGCATGGCCACTGGAGGAATGAGTGTCCACACCCCAGGAAACCCCAGAATTCTCAAAATACGTCCGGTAGGCAAGAACAACACCAGGCCCACTCTCAACACCACTGGCCAGCACTTCCCCCTCCCCCCTCACTCCAGCAAACCTAAACTGCACTAGGGCCATTCACAGGTACCACTGACCATCACATCCCATGGCCCCAATAGGGCTGCCTTGAAGGTGACACTCCAACTTTTCTACTTTTGTACTCTACTAATGATGATCAGCCTTTTTGCATTCTGGTCATAGAAGGTAGATCCTTGCCATTTTTGGTAGATACTGGAGCTATGTGTTCCAGTCTCTGTGACACCTATTATCAGGGGACAAGGGAAAGTCTACACCTTCATTGGGTATTAATGGAGTGTAGTGATGCACCGAACGGTTCGCTGGCGAATAGTTCCTGGTGAACATATGCGCGGTTCGATCCGCCCCCTATTCGTCATTATTGAGTAAACTTTGACCCTGTTCCTCACAGTCAGCAGACACATTCCAGCCAATTAGCAGCACACTTTCTGTGTAATGTAATTGCAGTTAGTTGTCTGCCAGCTTCTGTGTCAGGCTCACAGTGGATACTGTGCCCAGTGCCACCACTCAATGGTGTCACAATAGCGTGCATTTAAAAACAAAAAACTTTTTTCACTGTTATAGATTGAATAGCAGTTAGTTGTCTCAAAGCGGGTGTGTCAGCCCTACAGTGTGTACTCTGCCAGTTCACAGTGCCACTCATATCTGGTGTCATAATAGCTTGCATTTAAAAACTAAAAACTTTTTTCACTGTTATAGATTGAATAGCAGTTAGTTGTCTTAAAGCGGGTGTGTCAGGCTCACAGTGGATACTGTGCCCAGTGCCACCACTCACTGGTGTCACAATAGCTTGCATTTAAAAACAAAAAACTTTTTTCACTGTTATAGATTGAATAGCAGTTAGTTGTCTTCAAACGGGTGTGTCAGGCCTACAGCGTGTACTCTGCCAACCTCTGCCAGTTCACAGTGCCACTCATATCTGGTGTCACAGTAGCTTGCACGCATAGTACCACTAATCAAAAAAAAATGACAGGCAGAGGCAGGCCACCCCTACACTGCGCATTGGGTAAACCTGCTGACGGCTGCCAAGCATGGAATGCGTGGCTCTGCAGAGGAGTTGGTGACACCGCCATGACTTGCAGGCAGGCCTGCTGCCACCTCCTCTACTCCTCCTACTCCATCCTCTTCCATAACCTCCTCGGCTGAGTCCTCTTCTGCTGCTGCGTCTTGCTCCACATCAACGGATAGGGGACGTAACAAGGATTAAACTGATAAGAATAGTACTACTTAACACACCACTCCTATCTGGTGGCACATTAGATTGCACGCGCAGTGCCCCAAATTTGAAGTAGGAGGACCGACCAAGCATCTTTTTCCATCTCCCGGTTCTTAAAATCGATGCCATATACACGTCCCCTGATAGGGGATGTAACAGGGATTAAACTGATAGGAATAATACTACTTAACACACCTTATAATAACGCAGAGAGAGGCAACGCAGAGAGAGGAGTCTGAAGAAGAGGAGTCAGATGAGGAAGGTGGCTTTGAGGAGGTGGAAGACCAAACACAGCAAGCGTCCCAGGGGGCTTGTTGTCACCTTTCGGGGACCCTTGGTGTTGTACGTGGCTGGGTGGAGGAAGAGACCTTCAATGACATCAGTGAGGACAAGGAGCGGGACATGGCTAGCTTGGTATCCAACCTTGTGCAAATGGGGAGTTTGCGGTTGTGCAAATGGACTGTTTGCAGTTGTTTGCGGTGCGTTAAACGGGGAGTTTGGTCTGTCACTGTGAAGCGGGCGTAACCCTTACACTACCTGATCAATACAACATCATACAGTAGGTCCCCCCCCTCATTATTTTTATGGCCCCCACCCACCGCTCACGGGTGGGGGCGGGCGGGAGGACAGTAGGTCCCCCCCCATTGAGATTTATGGCCCCCACCCACCGTGCAGGGGTGGGGGCCGGGGAGGAGGACAGTAGGTCCCCCCTTATCCTTATTTACTGAATATTCCCCTGTATAACAATGTTTGGCATTTAGTGAATATTCCCTATTCTGCTCTGTGTCAGTGTGTATCAGGGATCCTTAGGATAGGTGTCAATCCATATCTGCCAAGTGACCCTATGTAGGGGGAACAGTCCCTATTCTGCTCTGTGTCAGTGTGTATCAGGGATCCTGAGGACAGGTGTCAATCCATATCTGCCAAGTGACCCTATGTAGGGGGAACAGTCTCTATTCTGCTCTGTGTCAGTGTGTATCATGGTCTCTGAGGACAGGTGTCAATCCATACCTGCCAAGGGACCCTATGTAGGGGAAACAGTCCCTATTCTGCTCTGTGTCAGTGTGTATCAGGGATCCTGAGGACAGGTGTCAATCCATATCTGCCAAGTGACCCTATGTGGAAGGAACAGTCTCTATTCTGCTCTGTGTCAGTGTGTATCAGGGATCCTGAGGACAGGTGTCAATCCATATCTGCCAAGTGACCCTATGTAGGGGGAACAGTCTCTATTCTGCTCTGTGTCAGTGTGTATCATGGATCCTTAGGACAGGTGTCAATCCATATCTGCCAAGTGACCCTATGTAGGGGGAACAGTCCCTATTCTGCTCTGTGTCAATATGTCATATGTCAGGTATCAATCCATATCCATTGTGATTTAGGAATGTTAAGTGATTTCTGCCCTTTATGGATTAAGACCAGACTCTGCATCAACTGTGTAATTTTCCATGGGAGTTTTGCCATGGATCCCCCTCCGGCATGCCACAGTCCAGGTGTTAGTCCCCTTGAAACAACTTTTCCATCACTATTATGGCCAGAAAGAGTCTCTGTGTGTGTTAAAATTCGCCTGCCCATTGAAGTCTATGGCGGTTCGCGAACCGAAAATTTCGTGTTCGCGACATCACTAATGGAGTGTCAACACCACCACGGTCTGTTTTCTGTCCTCTTAATGGTTCTTCTACTGTGCACCCTTTTCGTCTAATACCTAAATGTCCATTTAGTTTGCTGGGAAGGGATCATCTTGGTATTCTGGGAGCTACCATTACTTGCACGCCCTCTGGTGGTATTGGTGTCTATGTTGTGTTCTGAAACTATTGATTTGTCAGATGAAGCCCACACAGAGGAAGGTACATCAAAGTTAGATCTAGGATTTGTCAACTGCACCCCTTACAAAGCCAAAGTAAAACCAGATGTAACTCCTATCTACCTTAAACAGTACCCCCTGTCAGAAGCCAAGGTTGAGGGAGTTTGCCCCATGATCCAATCTTTTCTAGAGAAGGGAATACTAAAGCAAGTAGTTTCCCCATATAACACACATATTAATCCAGTTCCTAAAGGTAATGGTTATCGCTTAGTTCAGGACTTTAGAGCCCTGAATAGTTTAATTGTGCCCATTGCACCCATTGTCCCTGATGTGACATCCCTCATTACAGCCATTCCATATGATGCCACTAGCTTCACTGTCATTGATTTAAGTAATGCATTTTTTTTCTATACCTATTGATCAAGAGACACCGCTACTTATGGCTTTTACTTTTGAAGGCTGTCAGTATACCTGGACATGCTTACCCCAAGGCTATGTGGATTCCCCAGCCGTTTATTCGCTGGTACTCCAACATACTCTAAAAACATGGACCCCCGGTCATGGTTCCGTCCTTTTGCAATATGTTGATTTGTTGTTATGTAGCCCTAGTTATGAGGCAAGCACTGTGGATACTGTCAGTTTGCTCAAACACTTAGCAACTGTGGGTCACAAGGTTGCAAAACACAAAATGCAATTGTGTAAATCAAAGGTTGATTACTTAGGTTTTGTTCTGGCTTCAGGCACCAGACAACTGAGTCCAAAACGTATTGAGGTCATTCAGAGGATTCCTAAACCCACTACTTCCTCGGCATGATTAATTACTGCCGCCAATGGATCCCTGAATGCTCCCATTATGACTCAATCCTATGGAAGGCTATATGTTCTGACAGCCCTGAAAATGTCTGCTAGTCACCAGACAGGCTAGCTGCGTATATTGCCCTCAAAGTTGCTATTGTGCAAGCCCCGGCTTTAGGACTACCTGTGTATTGTAAACCATTTCATTTGTATGCTCGGGACAACTGTAAAACCATGGCTGTGGTCTGTGCACAAGAGCATGGAGGCGGTATGCGTCCCATAGCATTCTTTTCCGAAGTAGTTCCAGCTCCGGTACAGGGTATGCCGGCGTGTCTCAGAACGTTGGGAGCATGTGCAATGGCTGTTGAGACTGCTACTATCACACTAGGGCAGGGGTAGGCAACCTTTTAGCAGCACTGTGCCGATATAGGATTGTGATGTCCCGTAGCGTGCCGGTCCTATTTTTTTTTAAATTGAAGTGTGTTTGCTGCCGTAGTCTGCTTGTGTTATTTTTACTGTCATTGCTTTGTATCGTTGTATTTGAGCTATTATATTGTATATGTTCATGAGTAGTTTATGGTATTGTGTATGATACCTATGAATGTGGGCTGTGTATGAGGGCTGCTTGTGGAATTGTGTGTGTGGATGGATATGTCACATTGTGTGTTTGGTAGTGTGTGGGGGCTGTTTGGGGTATTGCATGTGAGAGGCTGCATGTGGGGTTGTGTGCATGTATGTGAATTGTTAGTGGTGTTGCGTTTAAGCGGATTGTGTGTATGTTTGTGTGTGGGTTGATCGTATTATTTGTATGAGGGGGGGGTTATTCTGCATTTCTGTGTATATCTAGCAGTGCGGGTGGCTTCCCTGGGTTCCAGGCTGGCCAGGTACAGGTCAAGGACAGGAGCTGCAATAGCAACTGCGAGCTGCTCTACTACTGTGTGGATTCCCATTCACAAGTGCTGGAATGAAGTGCTCTGAGATCACTTCCTCTACGTGCTGCAATGCATAAATTGAGGATTGTCCTTCACCACCTCTTCGTATTAGCAGATATCTGAAGTTTTACTGGGACTCCTGATAGGCCAGAGCAGCCTTGAGTGCCGTGCATGGCACTAGTACCGTAGGTTGCCTACCCCTGCACTAGGGCATCCTACAATACTCCATACCAGTCACCAGGTCACTCAGCTTATAAAAAAATCTCACCACACAACACGACAGCCCAGAGCTTAAGTGGTTATGAGATTATTCTTCTTAATACCCAGAATCTGTCTATTGTCTATAGTCCTGTTTATTCTGGTCCTATCTCTGTTTTGCATGCTATTCTCACTTCTGCATCTGACTGTGACTATACCATCTGAGCCTCATAATTGCATTGAACAAATACATATTGCCACATTTCCCAGAGCAGACCTCTCCTCCACAGCACTCAGTGGCCCGGATGTGACCACTGTCTTTGTGGATGGCTCTTGCTCCAGACCAAATGACGGTACGTACCTCACAGGCTATGCCGTGGTACAGTTACCTGATAAAATCATTGAAGCTGACACTATTTTCCAGCCGTCTGCACAAGCTGCAGAACTCATTGCTCTCACACGTGCCTGTCCGCTTTTCTCAGGACAGCGAGTGAACATTTACACAGACTCACGATATGCTCATGGGGTAGTGCATGATTTTGGTGTGATTTGGAAACAAAGAGGCTTTGTAGGAGCCGATGGAAAAGCCATTTCACACACAAATCTCATCCAATCACTCCTAGATGCTATCCTACTCCCATCTGAAGTAGAGGTTATCCACTGCCAGGCACACACTCTGGGTAGTGATGACATTTCCAGAGGTAATGCCTTGGCTGACCAAGTGGCAAGAGACGTTGCAGCCAAGACTCTTTACTATGAAATGTTTCCTGCTATGCTCACACCTCCCACATGCCCTACTGACAGTTTGCTTTTGCAGCTCCAAGCCTTTGCAACGCAATCTGACTTTGATTTTTGGATTAAACAAGGTTTAGAGAAAGATCAGAATGATCTTTTCTCTAAAGAGGGGATAATAGGCATACCTGAAGCCAGCTCCTTTATTTTCATCAGTCAGGCACATGGTCCCGGTCACAAAAGCATAGCAAGCACCATCCAATTCCTCATGAATTCATTTTAGATTAGGAATCTCAGGCAGCATGTAGAGTCTTTTGTAAGATCGTGTGAACCATGTATGAGAACACATCCTAATATTCCACACAAATCACAGCACGAACATTTGCACCCTCCAGCTGCTCCTTTTACACACTTACAGATTGATTTTACTCATGTACTCAGAATTGGTAAGAAACAGCAATACTTACTGGTCATAGTTGATCAGTTTAGTAGATGGCCCGAGGCCTTTGTGACATCTAGGGAAGATGCTAGGACTGTAGTGAAGATTCTTGCTACTGAAATTATTCCCAGGTATGGCTACCCTCTGCAGATTAACTCTGATAATGGCCCAGCTTTTGCCAGTAAGGTTACCCAGGAACTTGCTAAATTCTTGCAAGTTACCTGGAAGTTTCATATTGTCACATATCCATCTGACACTTTTCCCTCACCTGGTGCTCAACGGCCAGAAGCTTGCAGTCCTGACTATCTCAGCATACAGTCTGGCACCGGCCATTGCACATCCACGGGCCAAAATAACCCCGCGAGCACACACGTGACAGCGGGTGCACGCGCATGTGAACGCGCACTGCACACGCACATTTTGGAGCCAAAATACCAAGCTGACCAATGGAAATGGGAGGATGGATATAAAAACCTAGTATGACCTCCACCCAGTGCCCTGTCGTGGTTTCCCATGTGGTTGTCCGAGAGCGCATTCCTGTTTATAGTTTTCTACTGGTTTTTGACTTTGGCTTTGCTTATTGACTTCTCTGTATTCTGGTATCCTGACTCCTGGCTTTCCTCATCGTTGGGTCCCTTTCTGTGTTCCCTGACCTCTGCTAGTATTTTGACTATTCTATGTACTTTAAATCCGGCCAGTCTAAGGATCGGTAATACATTACTTATGTCATCTAGGCTATACAGTTCTACGTGCTGGATCATACAGTAATCCTGATATTACGACATTGCCATAGATCCTGTAGAACTGTGTCAGCACATAGCTGCTTGCGAGAGGAAATTCTAGGAGAATGATCACCGCATGGATCAATTTGCTCAGGCTTTCAGTACGCTTCTCGCTAGAACGGCGCATCTGCAGCGTCTCCTCCTATAGCACCTCAAACCTGTGTACCTCCACCCACTGTTACTAGGACTCCCAGCATCTCCTTATCGCCATCCCTACATTTTGATGGCAATATCCAGGAATGCAGGGGATTTCTTAATCAGGTGGAGTACCATTTTGAGGCCTTACCAGGGTTGATCCCCACGGACAGAGCAAAAATTGGTTCTCATGAATCAATTAGAGGGCAAGGCCCTTGCCTGGGCTAATCCATTATGGGAGAGTAATCGGAGCATTGCTCATAATCACCAGGAATTCCTTGCTGAATTCAAGCTCACGTTTGAGCCATTGGGTAGAGAGGATGACGCCTCCACTGATGCACATCAGACAAGGTAACCGGTCTATCTTGAATTATACTATTGAATTCCATACCTTAGCTTCCGAGGTAGACTGGACTAACAATGGGATAATATCAGCATTCAAAAAGTCTTTCTGAGACTATACTAGATGAGATAGCCGCTAAAGAATTACCAAAGAGTCTTAACGAATTTATTACGTTTGTCATGCATATTGATGATAGGTTAAGACTCAGAAGTCACCAGAAGCAAGACCAGACGTACGGCTATGTCTCTAGCACCCAGATTCTCTAAACCTGTTTTGCTAACCTCCCTGTACAGACCAAACCCGAACCTGAACCTATGCAGTTGGGGGTCACTAGACTGTCGGAGGCCGAAAGACAGTATAGGAGAAAGGAAGGGATATGCCTAATATTGCGATAGAAATGGACATATGATAACTGGTTGCCCAGTGCGTCCGGAAAACATCCGCACCTAAGAACCTTAAGGGGACAGGTCTTGGGTGTGATGGAGTTGTCCTCTAACAAAAATAAAAGTAGATTCCTCTTTGCAGTATCTATTTCCCTTGATAACAAGAGGTTTTCTTGCAGTGCCCTAATGGACTCAGGTGCTGCTCGAAATTTTATTGATGTCCAGTTTATTAGGGGTAATGAGATACCAGTCAGGGAGAGACCTACGCTGCTAGCTGTAGAGGCTATTGATGGTAGACCACTCACACAACCGCTTATAACCCACGAAACTGTCCCTATTATGGTCTCTATTAAGGCCTCCCATAGGGAGGAGATGACGTTTCAGATTATTACTTCTCCATCATGTCCTATCACATTAGGGTTTCCATGGCTGAGTAAGCACAATCCTTATATTGACTGGGCTAATGGGAAAATATTGGAATGGGGTAAGAAGTTTATGGGGAGATGTATAAAACCAGTAATAAAGAGATTGGGTACTATTGACCTTCCCACTACCACTCCCCAAAATCCTGGAGTTCCCATACAATACCGAGAACTTCAGGAGGTGTTTAACAAGGCTCAAGCCGATGTATTGCCTCCCCACAGAGCATATGACTGTGCCATTAACCTGTTTCCAAGCGCTATGCCTCCTAAGGGGACAGTTTATGCTTTATCTCCCCAGGAGAGTAAAATAATGGTGGAATACATCAAAGAATCTTTGAGCAAAGGGCACATAAGAAAGTCATCCTCAGCAGCTGGTGCAGGATTCTTTTTTGTTGAGAAAAAGGGTGGTGAGTTACGCCCTTGCATAGACTACAGGGCACTTAATAAAATCACTGTAAAAAATGCATACCCTATCCCACTCATTTCCAAATTGTTCGATAGACAACAGGAGGCTAAAGTATTTACTAAGCTCGACCTTAGCAGCGCTTACAATTTGGTTAGAATTAAAGAGAATCATGAGTGGAAGACGGCATTTAATACCCGCAGTGGACACTATGAGTATCTGGTAATGCCATTTGGGTTATGCAACGCCCCGGCCGTTTTCCAAGACTTTATAAATGATGTACTCAGGGAATTCATTTGTCTTGGTTTATTTGGACGATATTTTGGTGTATTCCCCTGATCTTCAAACTCACCACTCCCATGTGAAACAGGTTCTGCAGACGTTGTTGAAAAATAAACTTTATTGTAAATTAGAAAAGTGCATTTTTGACCAGCCTGAAGTCCACTTTTTGGGTTACAACATCTCTGCATCTGGGTTTCAAATGGATCCTTAAAAACTAGAGGCTGTACTACACTGGCCATTACCCTCATACTGTATTCTGGTATCCTGACTCCTGGCTTTCCTCATCGTTGCGTCCCTTTCTGTGTTCCCTGACCTCGGCTAGTATTTTGACTATTCTATGTACGTTAAATCCGGCCATTCTAAGGACGAGTAATACGTTACTTATGTCATCCAGGCTATACAGTTCTACGTGCTGGATCATACAGTAATCGTGATACATATAACCTATCATCCACATTCAGGGGTAGTTGAAAGGATGAATAGGACCATTAAGGAGAAGCTTAGGAAAGCTACTGCAGGAACATGGGTAAATTGGACAAAATATCTCCCAGCTATTTTAGCTGAGATAAGAATGACTCCCCACAAGGTGACTAAATTATCTCCATTTGAGATTCTGATGGGATGACCTTTTCCCACACCCTGGGCCAGGGAATCGCTTGTTATAATGTCTGGGGATTTACAGCTTATACAAGAACAATATGTACAGGAGTTGTTGATAAAACTGAATGGTAAATATCGCATATATATATATGGCAATGTTTCTTCGCAGTTTCCCTTACCTTCACAAGAACCTACTCATCCATACCAGCCCGTTGACAAGGTGTATATCCATCAGCTGAATAGGACCAAGAAAGGAGGATACCTTTTCGAACCACCTGCTACTGTGATTGCTGTAACCACAACCGCTGTCCTCACAGATTCCCACGACATCTGGATTCACGCATCCCGAGTGAAGCTGTGTCCAAAGAGGGGAATCAAGGAAGACAAGACCACTCCTCACTCGGAAACAGAAGAATTTCCTTTCACACCATATCGTAGATTGAGAGGATCATACGAACCTGAGACCAAGATTATGTTTTGCGCTATGCTTTCTGGAGTTGTTATACTCCCTCTGATATTGTTCCTTCAATGCCATTATGAGTACAAGTCAATTGGAAGTTTGAAACCTGTTTGTTTCTGGAGAAAAGACTCTGACCCGATGAACAATTCTTCAATACCCTCAGCCCAATTAGGCCCTAGCCCCTCATCTAGCATTTGTCACACGCTCCCTAAAGAACCTTTCTCCACCACCTATCTATCAGCATGTAATATGCAATCATTCATTGACTGAACGCATTTGGATGAATTGGACAAATAACCCTTATAAGTACCCATATGGAATGTGTCCACAGCTAATGAAACTGATGCATTATGTTTGTTTGAAGGTTCACGGAAAATTGTTAGATCTTATATCACAGGAACTTGCACAATTAAGGTTGCTAATTACACTGGTATTTGTGCTACCTTATTTAATATAAGTTCTGATAGTAAGAAAAAAACACCTCAACAAGTTTGGGATATATATTATAAGAAAATTAGTAAGGTTGCATATCAATGTAAACAGACAGGCCTTATTACTTTTAATAATGATTATACAACTGGTATCATTAATTGGAAAAGGGGACAAATGTCATTATGAACGACACTGCAATTGAGAACTGTACACTACCTTATATTTTACACCTTATTACGGTCCTTTATCCTCTACCATTGAACCAAAAGTCAACAATGACACACACCTATTACGTCCACATGTGTTCATACAACTGCCTTCTTACAAGATGTACATGTGTCATTAAAAATCACTACTCCTGTTCGAACATTATGTAACACAGCAAACAAAAGGCAGAAAAGGGAATGGTATGACACACTGTTAGGAGGTGCAGGAACCACTATGGGTATACTAAATAGTATAGACATGGAGACCCTCAAGAATAAGTTAAACACGGCCAGCATGAAGCAGCCGACATATCTGTTTGGCAACTAACCTCCCTACAAAGATAATTACTAGTAATACAAGTATCAATCTACCTCTCCCCTTTTCAGGATGTTTGACTAATGGTTAGATCTTAATGGCACCCAATATTATTTCAGCGACACAATCACTTTAGACAAACATTAATGCCCTATTAAGGCTCTCTACTTTTTAAAGATTACCATTTACCTCTTGAGACTATTGTCTCCTTAATGAAAGGAAAACAAAATATGTTTAAACATCTTGTTACACATAATGATGCTATAGTACACACACAGGTAGCCACACATATCCTAAAAGGAGAACTCCTTAAGGTGAGTTCACAAATTCAGAATGATTTAGCCCATCATTGGTACAATGCTTTTACTGGTTGGTCCCCTACTGGATCCCAGATAATTAAATCATTCTTCTATCCTCTTGTTATTATAGTCATGATTTTATTGTGTATGATTTTATATAACTGCCACCTTAGTTGTACATTGAGGAAGATAATACAGAAATTAATCCATAATGCAAAACAGAAACAACTGGAAATCCTCCTCTCTTCCACTGGAGGGTATCAACCCATCTTTGAAACTGGGCCTTAGGAATTATCAAATGGGAATCGAGGTGAAGAAATTAATGAAAGTCCCGCAGGGAGTGACTAGCACCCCTGAAAATACCATGTTGAAGTTTCTCTTTCCTGGGAAGATTTTATCAATAATATGAGCAATTTTTTTGCTCAAAGAGGGGAATGTAAGGATATGAAATAGTTAACTCTGTTTTATATGCTTTAAAATAATGTTTGAAATAATTATGCTGACCTTGGCAGATGTATTCTATAACATGCTTTGAGAGGCCTCCCTTCTACAGGATGTATGACCTCAGGATGTTCCTGTCCCGTCTTTATTCAAATGCTTATCTTTTAATGTCAGACAAGTATGTATTATTAACTACAAGGCAACGATAAATCTTGCTGCTTGCGTGACAAACTTTGTATAAATGCTAGCCCATAAAATATACTCACTGAGAACTTGTTAAGCACTCTTTCGTGTCTGTGTCTTAATTTGCTAAACAAGAACTCCCGTCAATTGATGTGGTTACCGGAGAATTGAGGGGAGTTGAGTCCAGAACAGCATTAACCCTTTCAAAAGAGACAATACAAAAAGTTGTAGTAATGTGAGCAGTATGATATGCAATTACACTTTAAAATAAATATATATATATATGTTACCGCTAAAGTGAGAAATCCGTTAATGTGCACATTACCTAGTTAATCTGCAGATTAACTGATTTGTTCCGTTAATGAGCGGAATCAAGAGTTTTCCGCATTTTACATAGGTAATGTGCACATTAACGGCTTCCGTATCGTTAAAGTGCAAAATTTTTGTTTCTTTCCCTCGGTAAAGAGGAATTATTTATTACAAAACATCCTTGCAGAACCTGTTTCACCCTTTCAGTGCAGTGGCTGCAGAGTCGTTCACTTCTCGTCTGAAGGCAGAATGATTCTGTGTGAACCTGTCTCAATTCATTTGTGAGCAAGTTCCTTTCAATGCCCTGCACCAAATTCTCAAAGCACAGACGCATGGCTTGTTGCTTCTCAGGGGGCTGGCTACTAACAATGCTGCTCCGTACGTCCGAGAAATACTCCTTGAGGAGAATGAGACCAAGGAGAGGTCTGCTCATGGACCACTGATTCAGACAGTCTTCAAATATATGATGAAATTGAGAACAGTGGAGAGCATCTGCTGGGATCATTTCAGGGTGTTGCCGCATAATGTGCAGGAAGCGCTCGCTCTCTTGTGGAGGAGGGGCTCCTCGCTTCTTACCAGTTCGGGATAACTGTTTGAAGAGGTATGGGACTATGTGATCCAGACAAGAATAGAACAGCAGCCTGTGCACACCATGGTGTCCTCTAGAGCTTTGAGCCCCTCAGAGGGATGGAGGACAGAATGATTTTTGCACTTTAACGAGTGCCTAGTAAGTAATGTGCAGATTATCTAGGTAATGTGAGAAATATTTGAGAAATGAAAAATTTTCGGCACTTTAACTGATCGACCTATTTAATCTGCAGATTAACTAAGTAATGTGCACATTAACTGATTTCTGCACTTTAATGGTAACACATACAATCTTGACCCTAACTCCCCATCCAACTATCGTCCTATCTCGCTACTGCCTTTTGCATCCAAGATCCTTGAGAAAATTGTGTATGCAAGATTGACAGACTTCCTCAAGTCCAACTCTCTGCTAGAACTGCTTCAGTCTGGTTTCGGCACTAAGCACCCTGTGAATACGGAACTGACCAAAGTATCCAACGATCTACTCGCTGCAAAATCTCGTGGTCACTACTCTATCCTAATTCTCCTTGACCTGTCTGCGGCTTTTGACACGGTTGATCATCAACAGCTTCTTCTCATCCTCCGCAATATCTGTCTACAAGATATTGCTCTCTCCTGGTGCTCCTCCTACCTCTCCCAGCCCTCTTTCAGTGTTTCTTTCTCTGGCTCTGCTTCTTCTCCCCAACTCCTCTCTGTTGGTGTCCCCCAAGGTTCAGTCCTTGGTCCCCTACTGTTCTCCATCTATACTGCCTCTCTTGGTAAACTCATTAGCTCCTTTGGCTTCCAATATCATTTCAATGCAGATGACACGCAAATCTACCTGTCCTCTCCTGATCTCTCCCCGTCCCTCTTGACTAGTGTCTCTGACTGCCTCTCTGCTGTTTCTAACTGGATGGCTGCCCACTTCCTTAAACTAAACTTGACCAAAACTGAAATTCTGGTCTTTCCTCCCTCAAATGTTGTTACTCCTGTGTCTGTCTCCCTCCAAGTCAACGGTGCTACCATCAGCTCCACCACGCAGGCTCGCTGCCTAGGTGTTCTCTTTGACTCCGACCTCTCCTTCAAGCCTCATGTTCAATCTATCGCCAAATCCTGTCATTTCCATCTAAAAAACATTGCGCTCATCCGACCCTACTTAACGCCAGATGCGACTAAAGGTGTTGGTCCATTCCACTGTCCTTTCTCGCCTTGACCACTGTAATCCACTTCTCAGTGGTCTTACGTGCTCCCAACTAGCGCCGTTACAGTCCATAATGAATGCGACGGCAAGGCTCATCTTCCTGTTCGCACCTCCCATGCCTCACCCTTCTGTCAATCCCTACATTGGCTTCCTATAAAATATAGAGCTCAATTTAAAATTCTGGTTCTTGCTTTCAAATCTCTACCTAATGCTGCTCCCACCTATCCTCCCTTATACACATAAGTATGTCCCGTCTAGGCCCTTACGATCTGCTGAAGACTTACGTCTATCGTCTGTCCGTACTCCCCCCTCTGATGCTCGCCTTCAAGATTTCTCGAGGGCTGCACCGTTCCTGTGGAACTCACTTCCCTCCTCCGTTAGATGCTCACCCAGTCTCCACTCCTTCAAAAAAATCGTTAAAAACCCACTTCTTCATAAAAGCGTATCCATTAAACTGTTAATAGCTCCTGACTGATTCCTCTTCTGCAACTGTCACTGGTTTAATACTAACCTTACCTTTTTGTGTCATTTTACCCCACTCCCTCTAGCATGTAAGCTCATTGAGCAGGGCCCTCAACCCCTCTGTTCCTGTGTGTCCAACTTGTCTGGTTACAAATACATGTCTGTTCGTCCACCCATTGTAAAGCGCTGGGGAATTTGACGGCGCTCTATAAATATCATAATAATATATATAAAAATATAAACAGTCCTTGGACTCACACTTATTAGCAGTGTTCGCCGGGTGCTAGAAATCCAGGGAAAAATATGTAGGTCTCAGGTAGTGATCAGCACTCACGGTCTTGCAAAGTTAAAAGTTCAAAGTTTATTATAAATCCTTTAAATTCGACCAACGTTTCAGTTCCCACTGGGATCTCTACACCGTAATTCCACATGAGCAAGGGGTAGAGGCAATGAGACAAACCCTCTGCTCCTTCACAACGTATAATGGGCCACCAATTGAGTATGTGTTAGAGTTACTGTCACTGACGTTGAAAAATAACTAGTTCAGATTCGAAGAGGATTGGTTCTTACAAAATTGCGGGCACATCCATGGCCCCCATGCACATTTTTTCCAAGTTTAAACACCTGATTATGGCAGATTTTCTATATTGACGACCTGTTGATTTTTCTGGAAGGGCAATGAAATGGAAGCTACAGAAATGGTCCGGTACCTAAATAGTCTCGATACACTGATCAGATTCACATCAAATATTAGTGCTTCTTCAGTACAATGTTTAGATTTAGAAATATCGATCAAAAACCATAAGATCACAAATTGCCTGTACAAAAAAAAGATACAGATCGCAATACGTTGCTACAGAATTACAGTGCACAACCAAGGATGTCAAAAAAATCATTACCTAAAGCACAGGAGAGGGGCTACAGACGCCAGGACCTGTTGAAAGCTCAACAAGAAGCAAAAATTGCTAGCGCCAACATGGTAGCTAGAAAAGCTCCTGCATTAGTCTTTTCGATGTCCTACAACGACGCTTCACCCAAGATTGCCAGGGTAATTAAACATAACTGGAAAATGTTGGCAAGTGATGATACCTTGCCTAAAGTTTTTAAGGAAAAGCCTTTGATTTGTTTTAGAAGAAATAAAACGTTGAAAGATATTTGTCCATACAGATCCCGTGAATAGTTATAGAAAAAATTCAGGAACCCAATACCGTGGCAGTCTTCGCTGCCTGGGATGTGTCACATGTAGACACATGACTCCATCACGAAGCTTCCAACATCTCCACAAAAGCAAGCTCTATCGAATTCAACACACTATCACGTGTAAGACTCCATATGTAGTATACAAACTAATGTGTCCATGCGGACTATCATACATTGGGAAAACAGAAAAATCCCTTTGTGAAAGGATACGTGGGCATAGATCAGCTATACGGATAGCGTATCGTGATGGACATTCTGAACAACCAGTGGCACAACATTTTTTGGATTTGAAACATCCTCTCTCAACCCTCAAGTTCATTGCCATAGATCATATCCCCCAACCTATGTGGGGTGGAGACCGGGGAAAACTTTTGCTCAATAGAGAGAGACTCATTGGATTTTTCAGCTGGATACAATTGCTCCCAAAGGACTAAATGAGTAGACTTCATCATTCACTTCTTTAAAAAACAAACAAACAAAAAAAAAAAAACGACCCCAGTTTTAAATAATATTTTAGAATATTGTTTTATTATACTTATCTAGGTCCACAAATTAAGAATATTGGCAAAGTGAGAAAGATGTTTAATTGTTCTTTCATGTTAATACATCACTAACTCATTTTTTGTGGAACAAGTTTCACTTTAAACTTACACTAACAGCACTTCAACAATTACATAGCACTTTGTAGTAGCACTTTAAACACTCACTGAACTACTGTACCACTTTAATAATCATATAGCACTTTCAAAATATTTATGCACTTTATAACAAAAGCATTTATTCACTTTAGAGTTTTAGCCTTAGTAGGTACTTTATAGGATAAAAACACTCTAAACAACTTAAAGATCTTTAGTATAATTAAGTGTATATCTAAGAATTCTACACTTATGCCTAGTTCATGCGTTAACCTATGATATATGTATTTTTATAACTTCATCAACTATTGCACTTAATCTCTATTCTGGCACAGTCCAATCTAATAGGTATAAACCTATCACTGCTTTATTAGCTGTGTTTTTAATGAGCATCATTCTATCGCACAATTCTTGCCGTGCATTTACACTGGTGGTCATAGCAACCTAATTCACATCCCACTCTTGTTATAGGTTTACTTTTGGTTTCTATAGTATATTGGATGCCCCGTTGCCATAGCAACCCGGGACATCATGACGTCAAGTGGAGGCGTGGCTTAGTCCATGGATCCATTTTTAATGAGCACCATCCTCGTTATGTGTTTACATTGGTGGCTATAGCAACCCTATACACGTCCCAGTATTGTTGTGTATCTGTCCTTGTTTTACCAGTACTTTATCAGACGCCCGGTTGCCACGGCAACAAGTGACGTCATAACATCACGTAGGGGCGTGGCTTAGTCCACGCATGCGCACAGAGCACTGGGGAACGCTAGCAGCTCCACTCCCACCACCAGGGGTAAGTCAATTAGCTTTCTTATATAAATGCTAATTTTTACTGTTATCTATATACCTGATCCTGATGAAAGTCCCAGTGGGGACTGAAACGTTGGTCGAATTTTAATTGATTTATTATAAACTTTGGACCTAACTTTACAAGACCGTGAGTGCTGATCACTACCCGAGACATATATACACACATATTTTATATATATGTGTGTGTATATATATATATATATATATATATATATATATATATATATATATATATATATATATATATATATATATATATATATATAATCCAGAAAAATGAGAGCACTCACTGGGTTTATACAAAATGTGTATTAAATTTTAGACAAAATACATCAACGTTTCGACCGTCAAGCGGTCTTTATCAAGATGTCCAAACAATATAAAAACGAACAATATATAGCATGTGTACAGATAAACTTACCCTATCACCGTGTAAACCCCATTACTCCGACATGCCCCTGTGACCGACGCCGGAAATTGCGTCCTAGCGTGCGTGATGACGTCATGTCATGTGATCGCAAACTAACAGTTGCCTAGTAACGCAATACAATGTATAATCATGTGATCGCAACTGATCTCAGTTGCTACAAAATTGTTCTGTGCATGTGAAATATAAGACAGGAGAAATAGCCAAAAAATAACAACGTGCATGGAGGAAGATAAAATTGTTACATACTGAGTGTAATTGAATAATGTATTGTAATGTATTTAGCAGAACATATTGGAGGTATAAAGATACAAAATGATCAGAAAAAATAAACAGAAGATAACTAAATGTTGTGAAAAAATCAATCTACATCTAAATCTGAATCTAAGTGTGTATGAAACTTAGCTATGTGTAAATGTACAAAAATCACAGATGTAAAAGTGATGAGGTATGTAATGTGTGATGCTACAGGTGACTAAAGTGAAACTGTAATGAGACTATGTGAATCTGAAAATGTATGGATCCAAATATATAATTCGAACCTATCAAAAAAGTGAAAACAACCAAACAATAAAGAGAAGAAGAAGAAAACAAATCTCTGAAGTAGTGAAGTGATAGCAGAAACTACCATGAAGAAATGACCAGAAATACCTCCAAAGAAACTGCACCAATATGGCTAACCATCACCACACTGTTATCTAATCCAGATATGTGAAAACCCTGAAATATGAGATATTCCAAAACATTCAAAATGGGTCATATAAAGCTACATTGCGAAAGCTATACATATCAGAACCGATCACAATATTACTAGTATGTGATGGGAATCAATTTCAATAAAAATAAATTTCAAAATGTTCCACACAGAATCTAACTATCAAGACATATGGAATCTAACTCAAGGAAGCGGGCTCAAAATTACTTATGCGGCAAACCATTTGGTCTATTAATTCAAAAGATGATAATGAAATTGATGCAGAAAAACTTCAACGTAAAAACGGGCTCCAGGTCACTGCAGCCCAACCTGATACAGTAATCTATTAACGAGTATTCAAAAAGCAGCTAAAGGAATTGTATTCATTCAATCCCTTAGGTTGAACCGTGTCCAGGTAATGAATCCAGAATGTCTCTTTTTGCAACAAAATCTTGGATCTGTCACCCCCTCTAATCAAAGGAGGAATGTGATCAATCACGATGAACTTGAGGGTTGGTAAACGGTGTTGAAATTCTAAAAAGTGTTTTGCCACCGGCTTGTCAGTCTTGCCATCTCTAAATGCCGTCATAATTCCCGATCTATGGCCTCTTATGCGGTCTCGGACTGTCATATCCGTCTTGCCCACATAATATTTGCCACAAGGGCAAGAGATCAAATACACAACATGATCACTTAAACAGGTCAAACGGTGTTTGATTTGAATCCGTTTGCCTGTATGTGGATGTGCAAAAGACGAACCTGTCAGCATATGACCACAGGTAACACAACCTGAACACTTGAAGCAACCTTTCTTTGTGTTTTCCTTTTGAGGATTATAATAACTCGGCAAGTCTGTTCTCACCAAAATATCTTTTAAGTTCCTATTGCGTGAAAACGCAATACGTGGTGATTGTAAAAAAATGGGATTCAATGTTCTATCAGAGGATAGAATATCCCATCTCTATTTGATATTTTGTGAAAATCTTTGACTTTCAGAATGGAACATAAGTGGAATCGTAATCATCGGAGTGGTTTGATGTTGTTTAGTTTCTGTTCCTTCAAAGATTTTCTTCGCCTTCTCAAGGCAATTCTGTAGAACTTCTTTTTTATATCCCCGCTCTAAAAAAGAACTGGTCATATCCTGGAGTTGTGTATTACAGCTGATTTCTTCTGAATTGTTTCTAAACACTCTTATATATTGTGAGATAGGTAAAGAGTTTTTTAAAGCATTTGGATGAGAGCTGTTTGCATGCAATAAGGTATTACGATCAGATGGTTTTCTGTACAGCCTATATGCTATGCCTTGATCCTTTCGAAATACTTCAACATCCAAAAATTGAATCTTCTCAGTGTTGTGTGTGAGAGTTAGTCTAATTGGTGAATCAAGATTGTTAAGTTCAACCACCATGGTTTCCAGCTCCTCTATCGTGCCTTTCCACAAAATAAAAATGTCGTCCACAAATCTGTGGTATGATGTTAATTGCTCTTGATATTTACACAATATATGTGTATTTTCGTATGCAAACATGAAACTGTTGGCATATGTAGGCGCTATTGCCGATCCCAAAAAGAAGTTCTACAGAATTGCCTTGAGAAGGCGAAGAAAATCTTTGAAGGAACAGAAACTAAACAACATCAAACCACTCCGATGATCACGATTCCACTTATGTTCCATTCTGAAAGTCAAAGATTTTCACAAAATATCAAAAAGAGATGGGATATTCTATCCTCTGATAGAACATTGAATCCCATTTTTTTACAATCACCACGTATTGCGTTTTCACGCAATAGGAACTTAAAAGATATTTTGGTGAGAACAGACTTGCCGAGTTATTATAATCCTCAAAAGGAAAACACAAAGAAAGGTTGCTTCAAGTGTTCAGGTTGCGTTACCTGTGGTCATATGCTGACAGGTTCGTCTTTTGCACATCCACATACAGGCAAACGGATTCAAATCAAACACCGTTTGACCTGTTTAAGTGATCATGTTGTGTATTTGATCTCTTGCCCTTGTGGCAAATATTATGTGGGCAAGACGGATATGACAGTCCGAGACCGCATAAGAGGCCATAGATCGGGAATTATGACGGCATTTAGAGATGGCAAGACTGACAAGCCGGTGGCAAAACACTTTTTAGAATTTCAACACCGTTTACCAACCCTCAAGTTCATCGTGATTGATCACATTCCTCCTTTGATTAGAGGGGGTGACCGATCCAAGATTTTGTTGCAAAAAGAGACATTCTGGATTCATTACCTGGACACGGTTCAACCTAAGGGATTGAATGAATACAATTCCTTTAGCTGCTTTTTGAATACTCGTTAATAGATTACTGTATCAGGTTGGGCTGCAGTGACCTGGAGCCCGTTTTTACGTTGAAGTTTTTCTGCATCAATTTCATTATCATCTTTTGAATTAATAGACCAAATGGTTTGCCGCATAAGTAATTTTGAGCCCGCTTCCTTGAGTTAGATTCCATATGTCTTGATAGTTAGATTCTGTGTGGAACATTTTGAAATTTATTTTTATTGAAATTGATTCCCATCACATACTAGTAATATTGTGATCGGTTCTGATATGTATAGCTTTCGCAATGTAGCTTTATATGACCCATTTTGAATGTTTTGGAATATCTCATATTTCAGGGTTTTCACATATCTGGATTAGATAACAGTGTGGTGATGGTTAGCCATATTGGTGCAGTTTCTTTGGAGGTATTTCTGGTCATTTCTTCATGGTAGTTTCTGCTATCACTTCACTACTTCAGAGATTTGTTTTCTTCTTCTTCTCTTTTTTGTTTCGTTTTATTGTTTGGTTGTTTTCACTTTTTTGATAGGTTCGAATTATATATTTGGATCCATACATTTTCAGATTCACATAGTCTCATTACAGTTTCACTTTAGTCACCTGTAGCATCACACATTACATACCTCATCACTTTTACATCTGTGATTTTTGTACATTTACACATAGCTAAGTTTCATACACACTTAGATTCAGATTTAGATGTAGATTGATTTTTTCACAACATTTAGTTATCTTCTGTTTATTTTTTCTGATCATTTTGTATCTTTATACCTCCAATATGTTCTGCTAAATACATTACAATACATTATTCAATTACACTCAGTATGTAACAATTTTATCTTCCTCCATGCACGTTGTTATTTTTTGGCTATTTCTCCTGTCTTATATTTCACATGCACAGAACAATTTTGTAGCAACTGAGATCAGTTGCGATCACATGATTATACATTGTATTGCGTTACTAGGCAACTGTTAGTTTGCGATCACATGACATGACGTCATCACGCACGCTAGGACGCAATTTCCGGCGTCGGTCACAGGGGCATGTCGGAGTAATGGGGTTTACACGGTGATAGGGTAAGTTTATCTGTACACATGCTATATATTGTTCGTTTTTATATTGTTTGGACATCTTGATAAAGACCGCTTGACGGTCGAAACGTTGATGTATTTTGTCTAAAATTTAATACACATTTTGTATAAACCCAGTGAGTGCTCTCATTTTTCTGGATTATATATTTGCACTGAGAAAGCACCTTGGTCCGAATTTTTGTGCTTGAGATTTTGTTGGGGAAGAGTGCCAGAAATAGTAAGTTTTTATATATATATATATATATACACATTGCTGAAAAGAGAGACTTGCATACATCAAGTTCAGCCTTCCTCACATATGTTTTTGCTGTTGATCCAAAAGAAGGCAAAAAACCCAGTCTGAAGCGCTTCCAATATTGCAAAAAACTAGGAAAAAATTCCTTCTTGACCCCAAAATAGCAATCAGATGTCTCCTTGGATCAAGCAGCTATTACCCCACTAATTAGAAATTATATCCCTGTA